TACAAACTAGTCAGAGGGGACCAGCAGGCATTGGGGAAGTCCCTGTTCCCCCGAGCACTACCAGGAGTGACCAGGAATAACAGTCACAAGCTGGCAGAGGGTAGATTTAGGCTAACTATCAGGAGGTGCTACTTCACGGTCAGGGCGGCTAGGACCTGGAACCAACTTCCAAGAGAAGTGGTGCTGGCTCCTACCCTGGGGGTCTTTAAGAGGAGGCTAGATGTACACCTTGCTGGGGTCGTTTGACCCCAGTACTCTTTCCTGCCTAGATGATCTACTCAGGTCCCTTCCAACCCTAGAAACTATGAAACTATGAAACAAGCCCCCATGAAGACAACATAAGTAATCTTGTTTCAGGTTCTTCTATGGGTAGAGGTTTGCAAGGACTGGGCCCTTAATGAAAATACCCAGAAATGTAATTATACATTATATGTTTCTCCCTTTTAAAATTATCTAGTGTTCACTGCACTAATTCATTTGTAATATTAAGTGAGAACAGACGTTGAATATTTAACCCAAAATGTGATTATTTTATTAACTTGTCCTTTCTCCAGAATACAGAAAGGGAATTTAAGAGTAAAAAATATGTTAATAATTAGGCATTTGCTTGTGGCTTGTAAGATAAAAATGCTTGTACCACCTGGTGTTTTTTTAAATGAACATTATCAAAATGTATTTCAACTGAGAAGCATAATTTGGGTGTCCTTTCTTGGCAGAAAATCATTCCCTTCTCAACATGCCACCCTGGCAGCCTTCGCAGCTGTGTACGTTTCAGTAAGTAACCAACATTGTTCATTTTATTTTGTAAGAGAGAAAAATCAGAACGTCATTTGCTGCCCATCATAAAGTGACTAGGTTTAAATTGTTGCTTAATGTAGTAGTGATATAAATGCACCTGACAGCAAGAGGAAATTACAAAGAATTAAAATAAACTTGGTACTATCAAGGAAGAGCTAAAGTTGTTCCATCCATTCTGTTCTCTAATAACATTTCCTTTGTAGTGAAGTGTAGTGTTAAAGCTTATTTAGTGTTGCATATTATGTACACATAAGGTATGATGCTTGCTTGCCTTACACATAGATTTTTAAGTTTACTATTAAAATAAATCTTAACATGTTCACCCTATTCCCCTCCTCCTGTTTTTCCTCAACACATAGCACCCAAACTCCAGACATTAAAGGACAAGTCCACCCGTGGTGCAGCTTCATTGCCTCAGCAGAATTACCCTAGGGGTAAATTTGGTCAGTGTGAATAGCTCTACTTGTAAACAGCAGCTGGATTGTACTACGTATAGTAAACTGCACTGAATTGTAATTTTTCCAATCTAGGATTTTTCCAATCTAGGCCAAGAATTGGTAATCTCCAAAGGAGATCAGACTGTTTATGTGAATAACAGGAATATCTGGAGTTACAATAGTTAATGCAAACACAGTAAGAGAAGGAAGATTAAACACCAAATTTCAGGGCTTAAACCAGTTTCTATAGGATCTGGCATGTTGTTGTGTGTTTGTACAGGGTTTTTGACAACGGGCCCCTCATCTGTGACTGGGATGCCACCAAAATGCAGTACAAATGAATAACAAATAACAGCAACAACTATTATATATATGTAACTATTATATATATATATATATATATATATATATGATTTTGAGGGCATCTGCTTTTATAACAGAAGGACCATTATCATGAGTAGACTATGAAAATCACACCACATATTGAAATTAGTTGGACTCTAGGTGCTGCAGCCTGTATGTATGTATGCATACACACATACACCCCCCCACCCCCCCCAAGAAACACTAGTAATGACGAG